AAGTCTTCAGAAGTATAAAAATTCTTTATAGTAAAGACTCTCGTTTTTACTAAGAATAAGAAAAATACTAATTAAATAATTAAATAGCTTTCAGAAAATAGAGGTTCAAGGGTAGACAATCAGAATACATATTCGTATAATTGCATGAAAAGAAATCGACGTAAACATTTACCAAATAAGGTTCCAGGTTTACTAAGATGTACTTAAGTAAACGTAGTGTTAGATATCCATAAAAAATTCTCATTACTCAATTTTCACGTCAGTTCGAACAACATTGCAGAAGATCCCACAAACTTCTCTAAAAACATTTCTAGATCCCTCGAAATTGTTCAGTAATGAAAATTTTAGGTTCACTCATAATTAGTAATACAGAAATCGCTGTAATTGACATTGCTCAAACGTCTATGCCATACGCTCTAGTTAATTGATCGCTCAAGGACAGCGTTACATCTATAAACACGATAGATGGCTGAAATACGTTCCCAGACTGTCAGTCGAAAGGAGTGTTGCATTCTGGCAACATCTTCCTCGACTTTTCAACCGCGAAAACTATCGTGACCAATTCGCCTACCCATCGAAACGACGGGGAAGAATACCGTAGAAACTTTAGTGGCATGTTCGTCGTCATCGAATTTAAATGCCAACTACTCCGGTATCACTCAATTGGTTGCGTGCGACTGTGCAGAGGAGGGAGACCAAGTGCACCGTAAAAAACAAAGCCGAGCTCCTAATGGTTGTCACTGCATAGACGGTTAGAGTGTCAGTCGCATTCGCTGGCCGGCTTCTAGAGAATCATCGACGATGGTCGCGGAAAGCACGAGGGAAAATGTAAGATAGAATTTTGTCAGTGATACACGCTGAATTCTGTTTTCACGCAAAAAAATAATAACATTGTACATAGAGAAAAATATAAATTGATCCAAGGAATTGGCAAAGTAATTCTGTGAAAATTAATACTTAAATTTCAGTGAAATTTTAATTAAATCAATATCTTATTGAATATTTAGTTGAATAAATAATAAAAGTGTAAGAAGGAAATGGTTTTTTGTTTCATTCGTGTTAAATCAAAATAATCATATGAAACGAGAAATATAATCCGAGAGATTGATTCCAGAGTTATGGGATCGTCAAGAATTTAACACCGTAAACTATGTTAAAATTCGTGTGATTGTGTTGAATTAAACCAAATCGTGTGAAAAGAGAATTAATTTCCCTCTGATTCGTGTTAAATTAAATAAATTGTATGAAAAGAGAAGAATAATTCGTTTTAAATAGAAATCGTGTAAAATGAGAATTGAGTGTAGTCAATGTAACGAGACAATGCTATGATAAGAGATTTTGAAACGTGATTCGAATAATGTTTACGATATGTAACTGTTGCTCACAGGAGGAGCCACTCTTCACAATCAAAAACAACGTGCTCATAGGAGTTAAGAGACCGATAGAATATAAATATAGCTGCAGTGCGATGTTATTGTACGACTCTATGAAGAGTAATTCGAATTCTATCGCTCAGGTAAGACGGATCGTTTGATCTATCGATGGTTATATAACTATATAAAATATTAGTCTTTTAATTAACAATCAGCTAATTAAATCAGTTTCTTAAAAATATATGTAGTAATATGACAGCAGATCTTTATGCATATACTTTGTAAAATGTTTCTATAAAAATTGAATGTTGCATGAATATTCGTGAACCACTTGGTATGAAATATTCAATGCGAGTGAAACGTATGAAAGGCGCGATTAAAGCGACTTGAAAAGAGAAATCGGATGAAAACACGGCTGGAATCTCCTCAGTATGAAACTGTTCTCACAGTCGTCGATAAAAGTCATCAAACATGTCGATTATGTGCACGTGTGGAATAGTGTGTGAAACTTGCGCAATAATCAATGAGAGCCTTTGTTTCTGTGCATCAAGCATGTATACTTAATATGTAATTGTACTTTATGCACTGATACTGCACTGGAATTATTTTGCAACAACGTTTATCAGAGTGCATTCAGTAAGCGATGTGAAATGTAGAATTAATTTGATCTTTAACTAATTGCACTGGCCTACAAAATTTATCTTTTCAATTTTACAAAAGGTTTAATGGGTGATCTTTATCGTATTTCTCATGCTGAATTCGAATATGCAATCCGTTTTTTCCCATCACCTAGAGTTTTTGAGAAAATCAATTTTAATCAAAATCTTTAATATACAAACGTAGTATCGATAATAATTACAATTATGCTCAGACTCTTTCAAAACTGTGTCAAAATGATTAAACATTTCTAAGTACTACTTAAAGGACGATAAAAAAAAGAACAAAAAGTCTATCGACGTAACAGGACACTTTTTACCTCGAATTGGCATTGACCTATGATCTGACTTTTAAGTTTGCTTTTAAATAATCAGGACAACATCCATAGCCTTTTTCCTTTTCTTCTATTCAAATGAGACAGCAGCAAGTATAATTTATCAATTGGATAATAACTACACATTACTAAATTACTAGTAATTAGATAATAATACTAGTTAATTAGATACTAACTTTTAGTTATATAGTAAATTACCGTTAAAGATTTAATTACTCAACTGATTAAATTATTACTAGACTAAATAATATTCTTTGTCAGTTGTGTTAGCTTCAATTTTTTAATGGCTAGGTTCAATGTCAGTTTCTTAAATCTCGAGCTCTGCGCTAGTAAAAATGGCGTTCACGTATAATAGCGTTACTTTAAAAATCAATATGAACAATCATAAAACTTCTGATTCTGAGAAAGTCTACGAAAAGATTTATCAGAAATTTCTGTTAACACTAAACTACCATAGCTAATCAAATAACAGACTATAAAATGAAGGTAGATAAGTTCGATGGCAAATTTTTCTTAGTGGAAATAGAAACAAAAGGAAGGACAAAAATTAAAAAACCCATTACTTTGAAAAGTGTGTGCCTAAACTGTGTCGCAAACAGTTAGCGATGATGAGTACATATACTCGCCAAACACAGAGTATGTGTGGCTATTATAATGTAGAATTAAACTGTAATGAAATGCCGATTTTATTTTTTAATTTTATTAGTAACATTTATTTATTTGTTTAACATAAACGTATACAGTTTGCACATGAAAGAAAAAAATTCATGAAAAATCAATTACTTAGAAAAGTGATTAAGTCAGTTTAATCTGCAGCTGTGGAATGATATTGAGTAAAAGAAGGTACGATAAAAGTTCTTCGACTGGTTTATTAGTCAAAGCCATGAATTTTCATTTAAAATATTTCTACGTGCATCGAACAAAATCCATAAAAGTGTTTTTAGATTATTCTTCGGTACCATTTGATTATTTAATTTACACTATTCTTACACAGATTTAACAATTAGAAGATACATTGCGTTATTTTCATTATCTTTATTGTTTTCAATATGAAAAAAGTTGAATGTGATATTCCAGGTGGACATTGTCACGGGAAAAGAGGACACTTACGGGGAAATGCTGGACCGCGCAGTAAAATGTGCTCTGTGGTTAAAGAAGCAAGGAGTGAAGAAAGGAGACATTGTCGCAGTGTCGACCCACAATCACCTGGATTGCTTCATTCCGTGTCTCGCGGCGATGTTCATTGGTGCCATATTCAATCCATGGGATTATGGGATGAATACCAGTAAGCCAAAAGCGTTTTTATTTTCAATAAATATACTTCTGGCTTTACAATGCTCAACCAGGGGTGGATAAAGTGAAACGCCTTTGCGACGAGGGCTAATAATAGTAAAAAATATAGATTAGTTAATCATAGCTCTAGAAAATATCTAAAATATCTAAATATCTTAATTAATTTAACATTAAATGTTTATAATATTTATATACACATTGTTTATTATCATAAATAAACAATCAGTCAAGTAAATACATTTCAGTTAAACGAACAATTTTAAACAGATCTCGCGCGCCATTTTTTGGTACTGACTGAGCCGAAAGTGATCTTCGCGAACGAACAGTCAGCTGGGGTTGTGCTGGAAGCAGCGAAGATCGAAACTGTCGACGTACAAGTAGTCACTTTTGGCGAATATTCCGGCACTATACCGTTCGCAGAGATTCTTCAGGGTCACGACGAGTCCGAAGTTGAAGGCTTCCGTTGCCTAGAAATCGAGAACCTCAAGGACACAGCGATAATACTCTTCTCCTCTGGTACTACTGGCCTGCCGAAAGGAGTGCAACTGTCGCACAAAGCGACCCAAGATTTGTTAGAAAATAAAAACGAGTTCAATCTACTCATGGAGACGCCGCTGTGGTTCAGTTCTTTGTATTGGATCAGCGGCACCTTATTTAACCTAAAGAGCATCTCCCTCGGCTTGAAGAAATACATCCCACCGGAATTCGAAGTGCAAACAGCCTATGAAATCATAGAGAAGTATAAGGTATTATAATGTATACATCGGAAATAATAGAGGGTTATACTATAAATGTTTATTACAATAATGTCCGTTTAAATTCAACAAAATCTGCTCGGCTAAATCCCGCTGTACCATCCCTACTCTTTCTTTGTTCTACTCGAGCTCAGTGTAACGTGAATACAATGAGGCGAAGAGATACAGATACAAATCAAAGAGATGCCGCAAGCATAAACATGCAATGAAGAAAATTTCAATTGCAATAATTTGAATCTTACCTTCCCAATTGCAGTACCGATTGAATGTCGAGGTTCTTCTCATTAAAATGAGTCCAAACACGACGTAAATTTGTCTAGTTTTATCGATTTAGGAGAAATGAATCTTTAATTTCGTTAATTACATTAAATCGGTAAAACTAATCCGATTTCCATCGTGTTTGAACTCATTTTAAATACAACGATCTCAGAAATTCACTGGCATTGCATTTGAGAAGGTAAGGTTAAAATGACTGTCTCGACTCTCGATATCGATTCTTTGCTTTTGTCAGGCTGTGTTCGAGTCAATTCTTGAAAGAAAATAGCTTCCTTTTGTTTTTTCTGCTCGGTTAAATCCGCGGACTCGAAACTATGGAATTTAAGCCAGCATTATTGTAATACCAAAATTGGTAATGGTTGAATACAACACACAACTCTATACAACTCATTGCTACGAAGGTTAATTTGCGACCATCTAACAAAGTCTTTCCGACACTTACCACTCATAAATAATTCTTTCTCTTGCAAGCGATCTTCTCACTTGCGATCTCGTGATCTGAGATGTTAATTGGCCTTTTAATTTTGAGCGAATTGTTTAGGTCTCATTATATATAGCATTTTAATGTTATCATTCCATAATCTAAGAATTGAAATATTGTTTCAATTATAATGTGTATATCGATGTTTACATCGCAGATTACGTGGTTAATGTTGAGTACCAGTATGAGCAATCGATTTATACGGTATAAAGGTTTGCAGAATTACGACCTCTCGAGCTTAAAGTGCCTCTTCGTAGGCGGTGCCACTTTGAAAAAGGAATCTCAAGATCTACTGACGAAAAATCTGCCACATACGACAGTATTACAGGGTTACGGTAAGCGTTGAAAAATTCTTGATTAATAAAATAATGAATATAATAATTTCAATGTCTTCATACGTAAAGAACGCGATGGAGGAAAAGGATTTATTTTCAAATCGAAAATATAACAATTTTTGTAGACAATTTTTGAGATCTATTCTTAAAAAAGAAGGTGCAAATTTTTCTATTGGTTCGTTCAATTGACATGGAAAATAAGTTGAATATTATTCCTGGTATTATTGAACCTCCTTTCCTTAAAAGAAACCAATGTCAAAATTCGAATTCTTAAAAGTTTGTCCAAGTCTGTTCTTACAAAAAAACATAGTATTTTTGTATTATTTCTTGCGAACGATGTTAAAATTAATCTAATTGTAAATATTACAAACATTGTTATTTTTTGCAATTTGCACAAAGCTAAACCAAAATGACTGTTGATAACAGGCTATCTTTCAAGAATGCACGATGAATCGTATCTGGCATTGTTACGTTAAAAATACGTAATAATAATACGAAGTTACAGAAAATAAAAGTCATTTTAGCAATTAATTGTCATTGATTCGCAAGTGACACATATGTTCGTGGAGAATCGAAACATTCATAGGAGTTGAATGATTACTGGTCATTTATTAATTAATAACAGTTATGAAATAAATAATAAAAAGTGACACGATATATGTGCAAAAGAAATTATAATTTAAATTTCAAATACTCCGCTGAAACAGTGGCCACGCCTTTCAAAACATCTTGTATATTTGCATATAATACTTTTTGAAAAAAATTCATTTGATTTATTTACGTTTACGTTTACGTTTTGCATTTACGTTTGCATACATGTAAATACTATTTTTAAAAAACGATTATACAATACAACGGTTAAATTTCTAACTTAGGCATGACTGAACTATCCGGAATATGTGCTGTTCAAAGGCCGAATGCTACTAGCGGTTCCTGTGGCACGGTTTGCACAAACTGCGAACTGAAAATCATTGACGTTGAGACAGGCACCAATTTAGGTTCGAATCAACACGGTGAAATCTGCGTGAAATCACCCATTGTAATGAACGGTTATTATAAAAACCCGGAAGCAACGAAAGAAATAATCGATAACGATGGTGAGTGCAATATTATCTAATCAATAATACCAATTACCTAAACCTTAAACAATTAATCAGCATTCCAAAAGAAAATTTTTATATTTCATTAACATTGAACTTTGTTACAAAACTGAAAAATAAATCAATTTAAAAAAAAACTGCCGCAATTAGATCTGTGTTAATTTCACACATTTATCAAATTAATATTAATATTAATCAGCATTATGTTTCGTAAAATGTTTTCAATTTTTGTCCTAATCTTTCTAGTTGAATTTCAGTATAAATTGATGGTTTAATCAAGTAAAAATAAAAACGGATTTGTGTTTAAATTGCGTTCCTTTTAATAATAATTTGTTGTTAACACTAAAACTGCTAGACTGGTCGAAATGATCTATTCGTAATTTCTTCTTTTCGTAATTATGGCAAAGACAACAGATGCTTTTCTAAGAAATTACGAAAGAAGTTGATTTAACAGTATGCAAACTGGATTGTAAATCAATTACAATCTCAATAGATGCACTTTTAAAGTTTCTGTAAAGAAATTTCCAAAAGTCAATTTGGCTGCTCGGTAGTTCTATTGTTAATCTATATGACATTAAATATACAAGATTTTTAAGATTTCTATTTTGACTTCAGGTTGGCTACACACGGGCGACCTCGGTTATTATAATGAGAAAGGGGAACTGTTCATTGTTGACAGATTGAAAGAAATCATTAAATTCAGGGGATACCAGATAGCACCGACTCAGATTGAGAACCTCTTACAGTTACACCCGAGTGTCCTGGAGGTCGCAGTCGTCAGCATACCTCACCCCACGGACGACGAGCATCCCATTGCTTTCGTTAGCACAGTGCCTAATAACGAAGTATGATTCTACAATTCTTTCATTTTCACCCTTACGTGGGTCGCTACAAAGTTTTGGGAAGGAATGAGAAAAGTCACAAATAAATTTGAACCAATAGTTTCACTGTTTTTCAAAACATACTCCGCCGATATTAATACATTCTCCATTGCGTTGTGTCAGCACTTTCTAAACTTAAAGACTCTCGAACTTTTTGCACTAATCTATGTAACAGTTGAAAGGTTCCATTATGCGAAAAAGTAAAAAATTCTTTTTCCATTCCTACTTATTACATTCTCTGTAGTTTATACTTTACAAGATAAGTATTACTAAAAGATCATCGACCGTTGATAATTAGTAAATATTTAGGCTATATCAAATGAAACAACAGTGTCTTACAAATTTTGAAAAATGATTAGAAAATGTATCAGCTCATACTATTTATAAATCATTTGTTTGAAAAGAAGGTTTTAAACGAAATTTTAAAAATATCAGAATTATTTGTTTGTTCATAGTTAAAAAATTTCTTTGTTATTAATATTTATAATTTAGAGCAAATGTATTTACATATATAGATTCCTTTTTTCTGATGTATCATTTGTTGTGAACTATTTTTGCGCAACAAAGCTGCGAAAGAAGTTATAAATGATTGACTTATCTAAGAAATTAATTTATTTGTAGCTTAGTAAATGTTAATTTAATTTTTAGGTGACCGCAGCTGAATTGATGATGAAGGTGGAAAATAATTTAATGGATCCATACAAGCTACGTGGGGGTGTAAAGTTTCTACCGAGTCTACCTCACACTCAGTCTGGCAAGATATCTAGGAAGGAATTGAAAGCGATGGCAAGGTCATTATCTGCTCGCTAAGTTTTAGCGAGTTTTAGTATTATTATATTATAGAAGTGGAGAAATTAGTAATAAATTGCATAATGTACCTGTTATTTTACCACGGAATGCAGTATTTATGTAAATATATGATATTTTTAATCTACGTAATATATGAGATATTGCTATTTATTAAAGAAATTAATATTTATTTCAAAACAATTTGTTTCTCTCATAATTCTTCTGCGTGCAATAATTTTCTGTAATAATCATAAAAGTGGATCAATGATATTATGATTCAAAACGAATAAAAAAGTTTTTGTACCTTTACACGAAATGTAATAATTAATTCGGTGTAATTTTATTTAATCAGTAATAAATCTATTTTATTTTTACATATTTCCCTCACATTTCACAGTTCTCTGTTTTTCTCCACAATTATGTATACAATCAAGCTAAGAAGCCCAAAAAATTTAGTATTTTGTAACTTACTATAGGAGCACTGGAAAATTTATTCAAAAGCTCGCAAGCTCTCTCGCCAAGATGCTTTGTATCCCTATTTCTTTTTCTCACACTTAACAAAAATTTCCATATGAAAGTAGTTGAGTATTGTAGTCTAACAATATCTCGTACAGTAGCAATTGTCACAAAACGAAATATAAATATATTTAATGTGAAACTTCTCTGAAATACGTACATACTTTAAAAGTTGCTCGGTACCTTCATTTCTAATAGTTATATTTAATACTATGTTTACGGGACGCGCCAATGTGATGCATATTGAATTTTATAAAGGTTATTCGGCAACTGATTAAGTCGACTTGGATTGAAGCAATTACACAAGTGATTATCTTAATTGCCTATCTTCGAATCTCCGATTTTCAAGATCTGAATCAACGAGCATCAATTTTTCTAAGGACAACAGAACAAGCTACACAATAATTGTTCGTAAACCTAGTGGTAACAATAATTTACACAAGATAATAGAAAAATGTCTCATAATCCAAGAACCTCGGCCAGCAAGGGCAATGCCCTCAACAGCTGCAGAAAATAGGCGCCAGGAGTGGGGAACGCTAACTATTGAAGCGCAGTCTCAGCCTCGTGGAGCTCAAAACTCATCAACATACAGGAATTCATACCAGTAACACGTTTTTTGAAAATTTTCCTGTAATACACAACGAACCCTAAATATTATCGTTCATTCTATCAAAGATCCTAACTTTCACAATATATATATATATATATATATATATATATATATATATATATATATATATATATATATATATATATATATATATATATATATATATATATATTGTATATATATATATACAGGTTAAAATGCCATCATAGCCTTAGATACTGCGAAAAACCAACACAAAGGAACAAACAGAAAATTTTTCTGCTACTTCTTGCTTAATGCATATTAACTTAACTTTAACTTTAACTTAACGTATCAACTTAACCTTTCCCTCACAGTTATCTAATATCTGTTATATTCTGTTACAGAATTTTACAGGAACATATCTGAGGCAATTCTCTTTGTCATATTTTCAGGTAGCCACCAACTAGACAGCGCTTGATTAAACAAAACGCGGGGCTCAGTCTGTCGCGATGGCCAACAAAATTCATATTAAGAAAATTCAAACAATTCAGAACAAAGCACTAAATTATACAAATCTCTCAATGGCTACTTCACAAATGTCATTCATGTAAAAACTAAACTTCCAGGTATTCAAACCTCCCTCGATGAGCTACTGCATAAATATAACATAGATTCTTACATTAACTCACTGATAGCAAACACCTGTCTGTACAAAAGCGACAATATACTCTACAAAATCAAAGTTCCCATGCTCATGGATCTTACTATGTGTATGAGTGAAAACCGTGGAGCGATGTGGTTGGTATTTATGTATTTTACAAATTAATCCTTTGGCCTATGATTTCTTTCTTAACTCTGATAAATACGGCTACTTTGTCATTAATAATTTCTTAGAAAAAGAGAAAAATTCTAAGTATATGTTATGCCTATATTTCCTTTTAAGTATAATAATTGATTACAGAGGAATAATGTTTACTTTGAATTCGAATGAACTGAGTAATATATATATTTGTTGAATCACGTTGAAAATCTTCGCCACGAGTCTCACTCGTTATTGTTGTTGGACAAGGGGATAACACTTTGACTGCCACGTCACCCAAATTTGGGCGACACTATTTTTCACTAAAATAGTGTGTAAATTTGATTATGAATTTTATGATTTGAAATTTGATATTGAAATTTATGAGATATAAGAAAGATAGTAGAACAATTATTACGAAGAATTTTGACCTAGTTTCTGCGTGATGAAAAAAACTGTTTCCAGTACATGAGAGTTTTGACGAGCGTTTACTTGGCAGTCAAAGTGTTAATGATAGAAAGTCTCATGAAAAATAATGTTTGAAATTTCTATGGAACAATTATCATTTTTGGCAGCATTGCTATATCAGAACGATAGATAAAAAATAATTTGAGTTTCTTAATTTCAAACATCTTTCTCCTTTTTCCTTTTCTTTGTTTGCATACTAACAGACCAAATAAAAACAACAATTGGAATACTTTAAAAAAATAATTATATTTATTTTAGGAACATAATAATAATAAATGTATAGATCTATACATATATTATTATTATATTACAACATTCGATGCATTTGTTCAATTCATTGTAGTTCTTTGTTTAATGGAATTATCCTTTATTCGTAACCGCGGGCTTTAGCTTCCTTGAACATGGCGACCAAGGAGTCCAGGGTCTCCAGAGCAGTGGGTTCAATTTGGTCAGCCGGAAGCAAGAAACCATGACGGCCAGTGTCGCGCAATTCGTATGTGTAGGTGATGGGTTTGTGTAAGGTTCCTTTCACCCAATCTACTGAGCTTCCGCTGGCGACGTCTGGAACAAAAATATCAAATGTAAAGCATAATATATCAAAATAGAACACGAATTCACAATTGTATGGAAAAATTGATTAATAGTAAATAAATTAAAAAATAAATTAACCCCTTGCCTTACAATAACGCGTAAGATTCGTGATGAAGATTTTAAACAGAATTTAACGAACCTAAATATTACTCAGTTCTTGTGAATTCAAATGAAATATTATTTTTCCGTTATGAATTGTTATAGTTCAGAGCAAAGGTGAACGTAGCATATGGATAGAATTTTTCTCCTTCTCTCAGAAAATTGTTAATAACTAAGTTGTATCGATCACAGTTGAGAAGAAAATCTTAGGGCAAAAGGTTAATAAGACGCTTTATTTCCCATTGTATTCAATTATTAAGCTATGCAATATAAAACGTCGCATTATTAAAGGAAAAACAGAATCGGTTTTTTAATTCAACTGAACATTTCGTCGATCAAAATATGTTCCATTTACTTAGATAGTTAGTGGTAGATGAAAAAATAGGAATGAATATATTATTCTTAAATATTTTTTATAACGATTCAAATTTGGGCATTATTATATTTCTATCTTATATTTCTATTATGATATTTATATGGTACTTACAAATGGTTTCGGCAACATTTCCGACCTGGTATTTTGTTCCGTAACGTTTCGCAAGAGCTTTGATGGTCTTCTGGCCGATTAGAAGCTGAATAAGTAGAACATTAAATTTCAACACATGTCATATTATTCGTTCGATTAATGAGTCAATGAGTGATTGTATTATTGCTCCACAAATAAAGGTAAATCGTCCTGTCTTCATTGTCGACCGATACGATGAAGAGATGATTGATAAGATCTAACATAGTATCTTGATAAGCTTGCGATATGATCGCGATAAAGAAAGAAGTATCTTTTTGCGCGTCTAAGAATAAAATTAAAAACAATATTTTCGAAAAAAGAAATTACTATAATTATCGTTGTAAACTGTATTTCTGAACAGTTTATTAAATGCCAAACGAAAAGGCTAAATGTTATTAAAAGTCCGAAGTATTTTGATTGTCTTGCAATGGAATATTCAATTTAATAGAGAACAGAGGGAGTATTTAAAAAACTTTAAGTTACATAATTTGTTAAGGTCGTATAGATATTTTACAATTCACTAAATAGCATAAACTTCCCGGTTATTATACAAAACTCCTTGATCCTTTTGCGATAGAATACAACGAAAATGTTTTGAAATCTTTACGCAAGGATTAATTAAATAAACTTTTTTTTAATTTTGATACTATTGTCATTTCAAGACGTTTTACTTACAGAGTCACTGTAGTTGTCCAAGTGTTCCTTCGTGTGACCATAGGGGAACATGAGGAGCTGCGAGTAGCTGTGGAAGGCGACATAGGCGAAGAGTTTGTTCGAAATCGACGAGATGTATTGGGACATCGATTTGGTTTCTACGTCAGAGAATGCAGAGCTTCCACCATAAGTGTCGCTGCATGGGTTGCTGCTAGCACCGCCAGCTGTACATATGAATGTAAAAAGAAGACATAAATATTATAGTTTGAAAAAAAAAACAAATTTTTGCGAATGTGTAAACACTGATACTCACACATCCATTTGTAGCCCCAGTTCCTGTTAGGGTCGCTTCCGTAGCACAAAACACCATAAGGCTTGCGTGTCTTTCTCCACAAACGGTTCTAAAACACCATCAACATAGAATTAACGATAAGTTCAAAATGATTCCTTATAAAGAAATAACTGAAATGTATAAGATACAATAATTTCCACATCACGATTCTCGAGAAATTCAATTCGACAATTTATTTTACTTTAGACGACAAGTTTTCTTCTAAAGGAGAAGCTAAGGTAGAAAAAAGATTTGTTCCAGAGAAGAAAAAATGAAAAAAGTCTTCCTATAAAGAACAAAAGTTAAAAAGCAAGCTTTACTTTAAATTCAAGTATCATTAATTTCTAAAGTTATAGAAAGTAAAACTAGTTAAAGTTGAACTTGTTAAGTTAAAATCTCTAGAGTTACGGAACGAGCCAATTCGATTCATATTAACTTTTATAAACATTATCTGGTAAATGTTTGGGTCGATTTCGATTGATGCATGTACACAAACATGTACCTATGTAAGTACCCCAATTGTTTACTTTTAAACCTCCGATTTATAAAATCTAAATGAACAAATATCAATTTCTTTATCCAGTTAACTGCGTTTGACGAGTATACACTTCATCTTAAAGCTTGAAATGATACAAATTTTTTCAACCATGAATTCTTTATATTTTCAGATAAAAATGTAATTCTTCTTTATTTTACTTTGGTTTTTCATTAAAATATATTTTAAGTGCATTCGTCCTGTGTTTGACGAGTGCACGCTTCATTTTTTGATTTTATTGCGCGCAAAATGAGAAATTTTTCAAACTAAATTCCACAATTGGCGGGTTAAAAGTCATAGACTAAATTATACAGTAAATTTCAAACTATTGTTAAAAATATTTGTTGTTTACCGTCGAGTGCGTGTAACTGTAGCCATCAGGGTTGAACGATGGGAAAATGTACCATTCGTGAGATTCGGCGAGAGCCCTAACGTCGGCTTGCTTGCTGGTCAACAGTTCGTTCAGTATGTACAAAATGGTGGCCGGTCCGATCCATTCCCTAGCGTGGATTCCAGCCTCGAGGAAGATACCAGGCTTGTTGCCGCCGAAAGACAGTTTTACACCTTTGATCTGACGGCCTTCGTAAGTCTTTCCACCAACGATTACTTGGACCTTGCCAGGGTAAGCCTTGGCCAGGCTGTCCAAGTACGCGTAGATCTCGTCTAATTTGTGGTAGTTCCTCAAGTCAAAAGTGGCAAGAGGTTGGACAGGTGGTTGTTCGCTATCGATCAAAGTTTGAACGTCAGCGACGTAAGTCTCGTGAGCGACTCCGAATTTCTTCATCGTCTCAACGAACTCCGCTTCTTTGTGCGGGGCAACCATCACGTCGGCGAAATTGTTGACGGTGCTGGGCTCTTTCCAGAAGGAGTACTGTAAATTTATTATTTATGAATTAGTGTTAATTGATAAATATTGATTACAAAGTAAGTGTTGGTTCGACAGTTGAGCAAGTTTTGCTGAGGGGTTAAAGTAATTTCTTTTAATAAACAGAAAACAGAAACTTTGCTAGTCTTATTGTTGATTCCTCGAACGAAAGGGGCTTCCTTAATATTAATTTTGTTGTTAATCGTTCAGAAAAGGGAGATTCTTTGGTGCTAGATTCATTGTTGATTCTTCAACAGAAGGAAACTTCTTTAACATTAATTTTATTATTAACCGTTCAGAAAAAGAAAATCCTTTAGTACTAATTTCATTATTGCTCCTCCAAAAAAAGAAAATTCCATGATACTGATTTAATCGTTCATTTTTCTTATTCAACTTTAATTTCACAGACATACAACCTAGTCAATAGGCGTCTATAAATTCTGTTATACATACGGAGTCAGAGATTTCTTCGAGGTTGCGGACGATTTCCAGTTGGTCGGGGGTTTGCGGTGTCACGCGGAACACCTTGTAGTTGTCATATTTCACCTGCTCGGCTGTCGCCAGAGCGACCAGCGCTACGAAAAATAGCTTCCACATGTTGCTGTCCCTTTAAAAGACCAAAATCGCCAATGTTAATGAGCGCTACCGGCCAGGATTAAACACTACAGTCAGGATTCGCCTGGATAATCGGGATTTTACGTGACGATCGCATGTCTAAAGACAACTGCGAGGTAAATGACTAATCGGAATTCTCGCTATCAGCGAGCGTGGTTGTCAGTTTATCGAAACATTGTTTAAAAGAACAGCTGCACGGGTCGAGTTTCGTATATGCTAATGAGTAATGCGCTACTTCTTTAATGCAATGACTGTGCAGTTTGGATTCAATGTATCCTTAATTTTTCATGACACGAAACTGAGCTACAGTTTGAAAAAAATTCAATCATTTTAATCGATTGATAGAATACAATAATAAAATTGTGGAGGACAAAAATTAATTTCCGTGATTCTTGTTCTTGTAAATTGATTTACATGAAGATGAAAATATTGAACGTGTATGTTTGACGAACGATAGACGTTACACGTGTTTCTAATTTTCTCGAGTCTAAATGTTCATCCTATGAATGCATAATAGATTGCTTATCAACGCACGGCACAAATGTCACTGCTCAAAACACTTCGACGACAAACGAAAATTTACATTTATTCAGTCGAACTGATAAAGCTGTTAATTAGATTGCGGACGGTCACGCCAATTTAAATTCGTATGAATCAATCTCGGAATGGGAGTAAACAACAAATGTTGAGCAGTTATAGTAAGTAATGATAATAACAAAAGTAATGCCGATAAATAATAATAATAATAAATGATAGTAATAAATGGTATCAATAATAACTAACAATAAATAATAATAACAACAATAATAGTTAGTTAGATAAAACTCTCATACGCTATAATACAGTTTTAGTTTTCATTTAGTGTACAAGAAATAATTGCCTTGAGTAATAAAAACTCCGGCAATTATGTAAATCCAAAGGAAAATAAGGAAAATGGAAAAAGTAATAATAATAATAATAAATCCGACTGAAAACCGAGAAACCAAAAAGAAAAAATCATAGTAATAATAAATAATAATAAATATTTTATAAATGTACAAAAAGTCCACAATCTCCAAATGATATACCAATTAGCACGACGCGAATCCTGACCACGTGTCTGTTAATCCTTTCAACGGAAACGGAAGAGAGCACTTCGACGCACGATCTTACCCTCAACGGCAACGACAGAAGTATATTGCCGCCGGTCATTCCCTTCGTTCTATTTAAACACGTTTCACCTGCACACGGCACCACGCGACGATTCTGATACTTAGATCGCTGTGTAAAAATCATATCGGCGATCAATTAAGAATCACGTTTATTCGATTCGGAATCCATCTTATCGGATTTGTTTCGAGTGAGAATTATCTTGTCGATCGCACGCCACTCGAAATCGTCGTCGCAGTTTCGCAATCAGAGGCAGACGACTTTTGATTCCAGGATAACTGAAAACCACTTGCCGTGGCGTGATTACGGCTAGCATGATTTCTTTTTCCCTCACCCGCGCAAGTAAGTAAGTATATACTTTACGCGCAACTTCAATAGGCGAGGCGTTTTTGTGATACGATACTGTCAGTTTGAATCTTCTTGCAAGTACTTGGAATGGAAATTCCTTGTGCTTATTTTTCTGCTGTTTTATGGTTCCTAGTTGCTCGTTTTTATTATTACTGGTAACTTCAATATTCTTTGTGTATTTGTTTAATGTAGTTGTATGAAATTTTTATATACTTGATTTTTACCATTGTGTTACCTATTCGAAATGAATAATACTTTAATGTAGTATTTTGAAGTTCGCAATTGATCGATTTTTCATTATTGGTAGCTTCAATATTATATATTTTTTATATTTATATAATGTAATTATACAAAATTTTTATATGTTATACTTGTATTATTATTAATAATACTATATTTACTGAATTCTTAAATATATTTTATGTGATGTAGGTAACTTTGTATTTATGTACAAAAAGTAAAAGATAATACATGTGAAACGATAATTAAGTGTATATCATTAAGGAGATTAAAGTTAAAGCACACGAAAGCTTCAACGTGGACAGAATTGTCAATCTTGATTACGAATCAGACACTCGGGTGTAGAGGCTATATTTTTGGACGTGTATCTAAAATCTAGATAAAAGAAGAACGTGATTAACAACTCGCCTCGTGATAAAGCTTTGATTATAAGCCTTTGTTTGTAATCAAACCTTTGCCGAGGTCGCATGTCGATATGCATATTATTGCCTTTTTATCAATGATCATATAGAAATTAATGATAGTTCTTAATTTAAAAAATTCTATAGATTAATATAAGCCTTTTCTCGTGGTAACGATAATGTTAAAAAAATGGAAAGAGATATTAATCTAATATAATATACGCAGATATTTATATCAATTTCATGATAGGTGTGTTATATTTCAAAAGCTAGGGATAAAAAAAATTCTTTTTAATTTATTTTGTAGTACTTTAATATATAATAATATATTCATAATAACATATTTATATATATTTTTAATTAAAACAGTGAGATACACAATGTCAATGTAAAAAATAGTGGTTTGTTGAAGATTAGGTATTATTTACACTTGAAATAATAAACAGATAAATAGTTATTGCGATTAACAATATTATAGTTTATAATTTATAGTTTCAACAGTTTCTCGCACATTTGGTTTGTAACATTTATGACGTACTTAATATAATATTACGAACAATAAATATAAATTATACAGTAACAGTAATATAATAGTATAAATTAAAAAATTAAAGCACACTATGCTTATTAAATATCAGCAAGTCAAATTCTATTTGGAGATGAACATCACTGTGACGATTCGTCAGTTGGATGCTCCGTATCCGAGTACCGCGGCTTGCTGGAACATGGCAACCAAAGAATCCAGGGTTTCCTGTGCAGTGGGTATAATTTGATTTGCTGGCAAAATGAAGCCGTATCTTCCTGTGTCTCGAAGTTCGTACGTGTATGTTACAGGAATCTTGTATGTTCCTCGTACCCAGTCCATCGACCCACCAGATGCAACATCTAAAACAGATGAAAATAAAACGATATGTATTAAACAATTAAATAATTGAATCATATATATCAAACAATTAAATAATTAAGTCATATATATCAAGCAATTGAATAATAAAATAATACATTTAATATATTTTAATATTTATAATTATATATTTATATATTTTGTATGTAATTATATATTTTTATCCCTTGATACGACTGACAGGTAGTTTTTACCAAATTCCGTCATGAAATCGAAAAGTTAAAAGTAACTAAAAATACATTTTGATTTTTGTAAGTATATAAGAAATGGAATATTGGAATAAAGATGTGATTTGTCTATTAACATGCAATCACTGTAACAGTTCGAATTGATAATTAATGAACCTTGCAACCTCGCTATTGCACATCGAACTGAATAACAAATATAGACCTTCCTATGCCTGACCTAGGCCTTCATCTATTTCAATCACTCTACACATTTAGGAATTAATCTACTCACATATCACGTCAACGATATTCCCGACTTTGTACTTCGTTCCGTATCTTTTAGACAATGCGTTTATGCTGTAGTTCCCGATCTGCAATAAATCGTTGTAATTCTCGATCCTTGTATTCGTATGGCCGTAAGGGATGAGCAACAGTTGACTGTAACTGTGAAAAGCTATGTACGAAAATATCTTATCGTGAATACTGTCGATGTACTCCGACATGGTTTTCGTTTCTATTTCCGAGAACGGTTTGTTGCCGTGGTAGATCTCACTGCATGGATTCGAACTGGTTCCACCCCCTGGAATATTGGTAATTAATATTCAGCTGATTAAGTTATCACTTTACAAACAATTCAAGTTTTTACGCAAACGTGACAATCATAGTTAATATAACATGAATATTTTCACTAAGAGTAATAGCAATTATAAATCAAAATATTCATAGATAATAGTAGAATTAAATAGTGAAATTTACAATATCTTACTTCTGCTGTTTATTAAATAATATTTACTTCTGTTTTTTTACTTTTTATTTTTATTAAGTCGTTCTTTGTTCTATTTTATCTTATTTTCCATTTCTACTTTCAATAAAAATTAATTTTCCACTACTTCCAATCATTTGGTAATAAATGAAGATCAGAGGTTTGAACAGAAGTTCGATAATAAATGAGCTGAAATTAATTTCACGTTTAAAAAATTAATTTCATATTTCATATTGAAGAGAAAAGAATGTTCATAACCTGCCCAATGGAAGTTCCAATTCCTGTTAGGATCCGCGCCGATGCATCCCCTTCCACTCGGCCGCCTAGTTTTACGCCAAAGTCGATTCTGAACAGAGGAATTGTACTTTGCACCGTGATTGTTCTGTTCATTAATTAATTGACATTGTCAAACAATCATCGCGCATTTATCTATCGATTAAGTATGAGATCGTATACATTTCGTTTAAAAGAAATTGCAACTGATTGAAGTTCCTCGGCTAATTATAGATAACGGTTGATAGGCCGGCTACGCAGATAAAACACTCAGGAGAAACCCAGATTTTATCGATAATCGATGCGTAGGGACATCGCCTGGATGATTCTGCCTGACGGCATCTTCTCGTGATTTATGTTCTTTTGTCTGTCCAGGAATAAACTTTCGTTTCTGTTTAAACATTACAATTGTCAATGAATAAAACATCAATACATTCCAGACGAATTCAATATATCATTTAGAAAATGTAATGAAAGTATTCGTATGTCTGGATGATGACAGAATAAGAATTGATTCGTTCGAGGCTTTCATGGCCAGGAATTCTGGGATTAGTATTCTTCAAAATAAAAATTGTGTAATTTGAATATTTTTAACATTTCTAAATAGTTCAACTCGTCTAACTTTATGGCGAATTATAGTAGACTTTCGATAGGTAAAGTGTTAACGAAAATCAATAATATTAGAATTACCAGACAATATAACCCATTCCCTACTTCTTCTTTTAAAAATATTAAAGAAATCACGTAGTATTTTCAAAGAAATTATTAGATAAACTGATTTTACAATACACAAATGAAAATATAAACAAATTGAAATCTTAATAAAGACAGTTTTACCATTTTTATGAAGCAACACAAAGTCGATTAATGCTCGGTACTTCTAGAATCAAGGTATCCTATTTCTAATTAACCACTCTGTATATCTTACATCTCAATTTTTTAAATGTTAACTCATCCTATATGTAATATTGTTTCTTATGGACCTTCCAACAGAAAACCACAGAAAAATTATTTACAAAACAATATCTCATTTTTCGAAAATGCCATTAAAAAATGAATCGGAAAATGGTAGAAAGTCATACACAATGATGGTCAATACGTCAATTAACTAAAAAATCGAAAAAGAAAACTAAGTACTAATTTTTTACACTAGGTAATTTCATGAAACACCATTAACACTAAGTTCGGAACGCGTATTAAGTTTCACAAACATTATTTAGTAAATGTTTACGTCGATTTTGGTTGATTAATTGTTTACTTTCAAACCTTTAACACGTTGACTGCCACGATGGTCACCGATGACCGGAGCTTCCAAATTGCTAGAGAACAATTACAATAAGAAACTTGATTTCAAAGTAAAATATTTAGTAACATTTTCAATATCGTTTGCCTTTGTTATTAAAGAAAAAGTATTGCTATTCAAAACGCTAGAAATTCTCGTGGCAGTCAGCGTGTTAATATCCAAGATTCGAATAAACGAACATCAAATTTTCTAGGAGCAGTGGGATAAACTGTACGATAAATGTTCGTAAACCTACTGTTAATTATTGGATGACCTAATACCCATTTTGTTTACCGTGGTATGCGTGTACTCGTAACCATCCGGGTTGAATACCGGGAAGATGTACCAGTCGTAAGACTCGGCCATGTATCGGACACGGGGATCTTCGCTGAGTATTAACTCATTCAGGATGTACGTTACAACAGCAGGCGATATCCATTCTCTGGCGTGTATCCCGCCTTCGATAAACACGCCAGGATTTCCCTGCTTGTAAGACAGCTTCACACCTCTTATGCTTCTTCCCTGATAACTGCGGCCACCCGTTATAGGTTCGACGATTTGGGGATGTTGCGTGACAAGAGAATCCAGCCAACGATAAATCTGGAAATGAAACAGATAAGTAGATGTCCGAAATACTTGGTCACTGGGTATATTTCGTGGAATTCTAATTTATTTCTAAGTAATAACTTTGAGTTTGATATTTTTCATTTTCACGCAGAAAATAGATATGGATGACGGACAATAGACAATAAACATTTACGGCGGTCAGCGAACTATGTCGAGGATAAACGTTTTCAGGAATTTGTGATTGGAAACTGACTTTTTCGAGGTGATGAGATTTAGAACTTTAGGGTACAGTGCTTAGGAAGACATGCAAAGAGAAGAAAATTTGAATAAATAAATGTCGACAAATTAAGTTTCCCAAAGTTATAAGCAATTATTATAATTGAAAAATTGTTGTGAAAAATGGGATAATAATTGAAAAGATAATAAATAAATTTGTTCGCATATTCGTATAATGAAAATCAGTATTAATAAATTTAATATGGACAAAAACTAACAAAATTATATTAAACGAATGAAGTGAAAGTAATTAATAAATGTAAAAAGTTGAAGTAGAATTAAATTAATAAAAAAGATGTCTTTTCCGAATATTTTCATTTTACCGTGTCCAATCGGTGATAACCCAGCCAATCGAACGTCCCGCGTACGCTTCGTCGTGGATTTTCATTGTCGATATACTGCTGCACGTTGTCCATCATCAATTCCGGGTCAAGTTGCGTTGTGTTAATAATACTCATGAATTCCTCGAGCTTTTTCGGTGACAACAAAATGTTCATCGTGTCGTTAACCCTCGGTTGTTTCCAAAAATTGTAGCCATCATCGTCTTGCATCTGCTGAACGACCTCGAGGCCAGCGGTATCCGGGACAAAAATCTTGTACAGCTTGTACCCATCATATCGCACCTTCTCGTCGGCACAACTTACTCCAAGAAAGAGAAGAAAATACAACGGTATCGCTGTCATCATGATATTCGACTTTACAAATCGAACGAGTAGTTGTTCATCAAAATTTCACTGAATCTTATGGTATTTATTTAGCCATCATTGCTCCTTCATTAAAGCATACCATCACTATGCGAACTCGATTTTATGTTTAATTGAAAAAACACGGTTTTCAGTTATCAAAGGTCCCGAGTTTCCCAGGTTTTCCACATCAAAGGTATTAAATAAGATCGTTGTACTTGAGGAATAAAGATTCTTTAACGTGTGGGCGTTATTTTCAGCTCTAGCTCTTCGTCGATGGTGTTATCATTTTGAACGGTTTTTTTAATGTTCTATTGAACTTTCTCGAGTGATCCTCCAAGGGATCAATGGTCTCGACAGAGCGACGTTTCCTCAACTGAACGAGTTTCGCTTTTACTGGAAGAAATCAAGCCGGAAACCACTAATACCGGTTCTAATACTGAAATTCGCCTCGCTTCTTCGAGGGGCAGCGTGGGTATGCGCGTCTAAGGCGAATCTTCCCGCGGTTTTATACGCGACGGGTAACCGCAAGCGGTAAAAATATTCCGTACGTGAGATAAGTGTAAACAAAAAAAAGAAAAAAAAATACGGGCACAAGGCATTTGCATGCAAGATGGCCCATGGGAATTCTCGCGTGATTGCAAACAAGCGGAGACCTCTCCATGGTTAAAGACCTCGGAGGTACCGTTCGAACGTATCGATAAACCGAGGTTGTCGACATTGGCCCGGAAAAGAGTATCTCGTTTTCACGATACGACGTTTGAAACTTGTTTCTTTTTGCATAAATTGGAGCAGTGCTGTCGCTGACACGGTGTTCTAACGTCACCGAAACGAATAGATAATGCTAATCATAATTATGACAGGGAACATATGAAGTAGTTAGTAAACCTTGACAAATATGTATTGTCACTTTTGCTCAAATGTTTGAAATTTGTTATATTTAATTATGATATTTTTTGTAGAAATAAGGTACAAATACTTTAAGTGAACGAATGTTTCATTTAAAATGTAATTTATTGCGTTCATTGTTACAATTTTTATAAAATCTAATAGTTACTGCTGAACTCTTAGATTTGTTAATTTTTTAAGCCTTATTTATTGGTTTTTTATCATTTATGGCGGAACTTATTTGTAATTAGTAGATTCAGTAAATTCCTCTTTTGAGTGAAGATCCAAATTCAATTGTTGTGTGAATGTTTTCTTACAATAGGCAGAAACAACAAGTCGTAATTGAGGACCTCCGGGAGGCTGATCGAGAAGTCGATGAAATCTGATAAGGTAATTTGCGTGTATTAATTGCCGTGCTGATGAACGGGTGAAAAAGCGATTTTCTCGTTAGATCTTGCATACCTTGTTAACATGCCGTAACTGTGTTAAATAGGACGCTGAAACTATTAAGCGTCGTCCTTCTTTTTATTTAGCAGATGGTGGCGTTATCAAGTGAACACAGTTATGCATGTAGGTACTTAGGTCTTTATGGAATGATTACAAATCTATGTTTAAACAAGTGACATTTTTTTTCAGTGGAATGCATTATCTTTAATTCGTTTCTCTAAAATGAAAGTTCCTTTCCGTTTGATATAAAATATATTTAATCTGAGAATATAAATTATTAACGTCAAGCATTGTCTAACATGATAGCAAATTGCGTATTCAGTTTTCCTAAACAAACATTATACGACAATAATTTTTGCTTGTAATGTTTTTAATTACTATTTATTGTTTAATAAAAATTTATTCCAAAAATTAGGTTTCCATTCTTATCGACTTATTACTTACATTACATTTTTAAATATTAACTACTATTTATTATTTACTAAAATATTCTAATTTATATATCTATAATTTAAAAATTGGTAATTAGTATTCTGATGGGGTAATATGTAGATATTTATTTGTTTCAATATTTTATAATAAAAAACAAAATCATTTTTATCCTGTGCTATATTACATCTAACAGCTAACAGTTGTTTTAATTTGTACATATAAACAAGTTAATACCGAATTATGAATATTGAAGAACAGTAAAAAAAGAATTAAAAATTCAATTACGATGCATGTTCCTCTGGTGGTGAAATAAAAGAAGACTTATATTTCAAAGGACCATATATGATTTGTGTCAACTAATATCTGCTCTGGAAAATAATAAAAATGGCAGATAAATCGATTCACGAAATGGCTTATCGTGGTCAAGTTGCAAATGTTAAACGTCTTTTAAGTGAAAATGAAAAATTAAAGACGGAGAAAGACAGTGTAAGTTTTTATTTATTTAAAACGTAGGTTACTAATAAGATAGGTTATGTTGCTTCTCAATAAATTTCTTTTTGTAGAGTGGAAGACTTTTAATACATTGGGCTGCACTTGGAGGTCACGACGAGTTAGTTAGATATTTATTATCTCTTGATGTACCTGTTGATCCTACTGATGATGTAAGTATTTCAATTATTATATGACAAGCATATACACATATCAGGTATTGTCAAAGTCATGACTGATTTGTGACAACAATAACTTTCACTGATTATTAGCTAAGACGTCATTCTGTTCTTACTTTATTGTTTATTCTTGTACACATTCTAAATAATTATCTTTATGTATCTGTTTGACTCATTGGAAAATAATATATATGTCAAATTACATTGTTTTATTCTAATTAGACTTTATTTCTTCATTCTTTATTTTTTCTTTTTGTGAAGGTGTCTAAATATTTAATGCACAAAATGATTCAACAGTAATGAATACAAACAGAATAATAATAATATCATGAAAACAAACCAAAGAATGAGTATTGAAGACACAATGCACAATACGTTATGTTTAAAATTAAGTAAACATGAATAAAAATGTTTTAAGTGCGTATGTTAATATGTTTTTCGTAGTGATATTACACAAAAATATAAATGTCTTTTATAATTATGATAGAAGTCTTTAACTTTATTTGAATATGCCCGCCTATTATAACCTCTCTTAACCTTGTGTTCGTCGCTTCAGATTCCACTGAATCATATTTAATGGCGCGAATCTGAAATTTAAACACTTGAATCTCATAATACAAATTTTAAAATAATACAACCAAATCAAAAGATTTTATATATAAAAGAAATGAAGGAAAATGTATAATGAATACAAAAAATATAATGTAGGATTGTGCTTATTGTAAAGGTGTACTAAACCTATTATTTTTCATTATCAAACCCTAGTTATTAAATCTAATTTTTAGACCGACATGACACCTTTAATCCTGGCCGCATCAGCAGGTCGCGAAAAAGTAGTTACCACTCTATTAACAGAGGGTGCAAATGTTAATGCCACAACACAAACTGGTCATTCAGCCCTCCAATACGCAGCATCAAAGAATTGGAAGTCTATCTGTGCAGCATTGTTAGAAAAAGATGCAGATATTAACATTACAGATAATCGTGGTGCAACGCCATTGCATAGGGCCGCGTCAAAGGGCAATATTGCTATCGTGAAACTCCTTCTGGAATATGGTAAAAATTTAAAAATAAGTAAGTCTTTCTTTGCATTAACAAGCAATTTACAATTTTAAAATATTGAATATTATCAAGATGCTATATACTGTTATCATAATATAATAGTTTCTTTTTAAACTTTTAAAAAAACATTGTAACAATTTCTACAAATTTGTCAACCTTCGATACATAATGATTAATTGGTTTCTTAGAAATTAATGTTAACTGTTCACAGATAGCAAAGATGCTGACGGTAATACACCGTTGCATTTGGCATGCGAAGAACACCGCGTGGACGAGGCGAAATTGTTAGTTCAAAATGGCGCTAACATGTACGTGGAAAATAAAGAGAAAAAGACTCCGTTGGATATTGCATCGCCTGGTCTGCAACGTCAGCTGAAAGAAATCAAGGAGAACAAACCTTGAACAAATTTAAATACAGTTTACATTTGATCAGCGGTATTCGATATTCGCTGCATTTCCAACGTTAATGAAGATGAGCGTCTTGATTTTTTACGTTGTACAACACATTTAGATTCAGTGAATCGAATAGATCTTTATTTTATCAATGTATTTATTAAATAAAAATTAAAAGTAAATATTTTTAGCATATATGGTTCATTTGGTAACGTGACCGACAGCATGGCAAATTATATACAACCATCTGAAAATATATACCAAGGAAATTCATGAATTTCGGCTATAAATCTCTTTTGCTTTTTTTTTCATTTTTGTAACATCATAACAGTTTGCGTGTAAATTAATGCTAAAACAATACATAAGTCATACTTGATTACTGACAAATTTTGCTCTGAAATTCATCGATACATTAAGCGATATATTGTGTTTTGCATTGGTAATTTATTGACCATTATATAAATAAACGATAGAAAAACTCGGACCGAGTAACAATTCTTCTATCGTTCAGTTTATAGCATTTAACTATACCTCTTAACACACTTGTAGTGTTATTAGTATTTGATTTACGCCTATGTATATAAAATGTATAGAAAAAGATTTCTCGTTTCGTTGGTCGAATCTTATGTGTTGCCCGCTTACTTTCTTTTCTCCCTTTCATTACGTATTTTCAGTCCATTCACGGTACCGGAATAATTGATTTCAACCTCATTGGACCTCACAAAGGAGATCAGTCTCCGAAGTAAATCGCTTAAAGTAAAACGCGCTCAAGTCGAATGTGAACACTTTTTTAGCGCTTATTTACAAACTTACAGCGATTTGAAAAGTAAAATGCAACGTGTGGTATGGAATTTCTTTTTTGTTTACAGAAATTTTGGATGGTTTATAAAAAATATGTTCACATAATAATACAATTCCCAATTAATTTCACAAGATTCTTACGTTCTCTATTACATTAGAAAAGAAGAAGAAAGAAAAGTTTTTATCCCGTATCCAAGTGTAAGCGTTATGCTTCAAAAGAAAATATATAACATGTAAACAAAATGAACTATTTCCACAATTTTGGGCTTAAGTCTATTGAAGTTAATTTAAAATTCAAGTCGATTAAGGTGCTCATTCATTCTCTGCATTACAGTGGGTTAGTAACTATACACGAAACATAAAAAATACAATTGAGTCGTCTTATCAGTTAAATAAAAAAATATGTATATTAAAGTCTAAGTAATTTATGGCCACATTCACACACTTCTACGCTGATGATAGTCGACATTGCAAAGCATACATATAAACGATTGTACATTGATACAAAATTTCACAGCAAAAGATTCAAAATTGTGAAGCTCTGTTTTCTATTTGCCAACAATATCAATTGTTTCAATAATTGGCCACATAAGCCAAATTAAAAAGTTTCGATTACACATACATTCAAGATACACATCCCTTAAAAAATTGTTCTCACAATGCGTGAATTGTGTTAAAAAGTAGTTATTACAACAGTACAGTATATAAATGGTAACCAATAAAATATATTTTTTACAATCATCCAAATTTCCAAAAATTGAAAGGAGTCCTTTCGAGAAAGAGGTTGCTGATATTTCGGTTGTGTTTTTAGCTTTGCATATGTTATCGAAGATCCTAGCAGTCGGATATCTTTCTGCACGTTCGAACCCAACAATGGGGTGAGTATAAAAATTTCTTTAAGTATCAATTCCACTTAGTGAGTATATTGTTGCACATGAAGTGTTAGATTTTTAGTAACACAAAACAAATGTACACGATTCGAATTAACATGCAAGTAGTAACCTTTGCCAACAATTAAGAGCTCCGTAACAAAAACAACATCCATGAAAAAAAAGTTAAGGTATTGTGTGAAACGTATTTTTTTTGAATTTCGATGAAACGTCCGATACATAAATTTGTTATTATTGTCGAAAAGTTTACAAAAAGCTTCTAACTTCAAGTGTGATTATCTTTAGACTCGATTGCATTCACTTACTCGATAATAGTATAGGCGAAAACTATTGATAAATTTTGTTCATACATCGTGTAATCTGTTTTCTTTCATGTGCAGAATTGCAGCATAAAACTCACGAAAAAAATTCTGCTCAAAGCCATTAAAAACTTATAGCTTAATTTAAATAAATTCTTGTACCACATAAAGTTAATAGCCATTGATTTTTTTTTACATTTAAGCACTGTATGAAGAGAAAAACAGAGGAAAATAATGAATTTCATAGAAGTTAGTTCTTTCAACTGTTAACAGGTTTTTAGAAGGATTATTTTGGTCATGCACCTTCAGTTTTTATCTCTAAAAGAATATTCAACTATAAAGATCAACAAAACCTACCATTTGATGCGCAACATTATATAACGTACCATTGACGTTAGCATATTCCTCTTGACAGACACAATTCATTACAGTATCCTTCCTTTATTTAAGAAATTATAATTTATTTCTTATTAACTAAATCTGTCGAAAATGTGTATAACGTTTATTAAGTTCATTCCAGAGATGTTGAGGTTTAATTATAATAATTACGTGGAGGAAATAGTAGTCCACGATTAGTTAAGTGGCAGTTCAATCGTGAATTTGAAAAGCCCGCCTAAAAAATCACTAGAAAGCTGTTTAATGTAAAAAAAACAGGCCAGTTTCGTCCATATACAATCACTTAGCCGTATCAAAAAATAATATATATATATATATATTTACATATAGAGAGTGTACGATAAGGCGTGTTACATCCAGAAATCTTTCCTTTTCTATTCTCCTTTAAAAACTACAAAAAATTCTTAATATTTTAGTAACATAATATTAAGAATTTTTAGGTAATTATTCGTCTCTGATGTTCGTTAATTTTAGAAAAAAGTGATTCCACAAAACCCGGCTTTTTTTTACCATCTCTGGATACAGCATACTTTACAGAATACTCTGAATATGTAAATGTGTACATATACAGAGTGATTTAAGATTAGCGCACAATAATGAAACATCTGATTTTGAAGGTGATTCTTCGCTGTAAATGTTTTATAAAAGTTGCCCTGTTTCACACTAGAAGAGATGCTATTGATTAATGTTTTATCCGATTTTTATAGGATTTAAATATTGAACCGTTTGTTAGTTTACTCGGGAAGATGCAACTCTTCCTCTTTTCAAAATCTAGAATCAACTTTTATTTCTAAAAATTTCGTTGGTTTGTTAGGAAGGTTTATTTTAAATAAATTTCTTTACAAAAAGTACAGTTGTCCAGCAGCAGGAGACGTAAAGACGTATTTGCGTACGCCGCAAATTTCAGCACCTAATTGCACTAATGATTTTCAAGTGAACCCCATGCAAGGAACTTACGTAATATAGACAAAATTTCAAGGTGTTCATTACAAAATTTATTCAAATACTCAAAAATGAAATAAAAATATTATAAAATAAAAATTTGTTTTAAAAATTTGCAATTTCGTTTAACAACGTCAAGCGCTGTGATAAGCGGGTGTTTTTATTGCACATTTCCTGCATAGAATCACCCCCAAAATCAAGTATTTCGTTATCAAACGCTATTCATAAAAAACCCTATACACGTGTAATATGTATAACCGCCCGTTAATCTCTTTTTGTCTTGCATTTCAAAATGCAAATACCCCACACAATTGTTATTTCATTTATTCTGCAACACTGCCATTTATTTCATGTTTTGATTTAGGTTGTTGGATTGGCCATGAATACTGCTTACTCTTGTTATTTATTTCTTTTTCTTTCTAATCTTTTTTCTTCGTATAAAGTGTTTCTGTTCGATGTCGACAAAAAGAGGTTAAAGTACGTTGCATCTGAATGCATAAGAAATGCACATGTTCTAAAAAATGCATGTATAAAAAGGTTGCTGTTTCTCTTCTTTCCTCGATCAATTTCACATGGCGATCTTGCATTGAAAGGTTGAATTTCACACGCATCAAGAAATCCGCCAGTGCACGATTCCAATTAAAAAAGCAGAGAAACAAATTGAAAAATTGTATATAATATTTTAGAAAAATTAACCTCGATTAAATGCATGCTCAAGTAATTGTTCCGAGACCTTTGACGAACTTTTCGATGGGTCTGAAATCGGATGACATGGAACGAAGAAGTTCTCGATCTGCAATCACACCTAAATACCAATTGATATACACCCTGGATCGTCGATTTCTGGTTCGTTCCGATAGGTAAAGAAATTTTATTCGAAAAGAAATGAGATAATTGCTGCTTAAAATGGAACAGTCAGGCAAAAATGCAACTGAAAAGCTTAAACAAGATATTAAAGAGTATAATCTTTCTTAAAAATAATAATACTTTTTCTTCAAAAGTTGACATCCCGAGTCAAAATCACTCTTTTATGTCCCTTCTTGCCATTTATAAACAAGAAAACGAACTTTCTCCCACAGATAACAACAATTTTTTCAGAGTGTTCTAAATCCCCCGGAATCATCATTAAAATACTTTACGGCATATCTCGAAAAAGTCTTTGAAATTTTACAATCGCTCCACTCAGCGTCAATGAGTAATACAATAATAAGATTGTTTTAAAAATGCTACGTCTTGAACAATTCTAACAACTGAAAAATTGTACTTCAACTCTTGTGAAAGTTCTACAGTTTCCAACCTCTCGGAACGATGCCTCGGAATCGCCTATCATTGGCTCGATTATTAAAAATAATTACAAATAACGTATTACGATTTTTTTTTCTTTTAAACAAAAACTGCGATGATGATGATGATAATAATAATAATAATAATAATAATAATAATAATAATAATAATTAATATAACTATAATATAATAGATATTAATGCTGCCTAAATGTGGTGTTAATTCGTTATCGATTATGCAGCCCCAATAATATATTTCTAGTTTCAATATTACCCGGCGAAAGTGGTAGCATTTTCCACAAAGAATGACGAAATACATGATTAAGAAGAAATTTCTATGGTAAATCTTGTACAAAAGTATGGCATCCCAGTACCGTTAACGTGGAAGTCCAGTACGCGTGTACCGTGCACGTTAAGCTCCTTGGAAAAAAATTCGGTAAACGTTTACCTGTGAGAATCATTTTCAATGATTTCATTCTAGGCTATTAATGGCTTGCACCATTAACAATTGTATGAATGATCGATCGGTCGATACCAACGTGTCGTTGAGAAGGTTCGTCGATCTTTGTGGAGTTCCGGAAGAACGAAGGTAAAATACTACTCAGTACGGCTCTGCCGAGTCTCTTATGTACAGAAGGAAGCCGTCCTCATCTCATGGCATCGTTAGGTGCATAAGAATCGACTCCCGGGAAAGTTCGGGAAAACGAATTCCTCTGAATTCGGATGTCGAAGCGGATCTTGCGCGCACCTCCTGGACCTGGGTTTTTCTATGGGTTTCCTGCGTTGTGAGGGTTCATTAAGTGATTTTTCTGCTCTATCGTTCAATTGACGGTTTCCTCACCGTCGATGCTTTCATCCTGCGTTGTTGAATCATCCCCGGAGCCACCAGTCTGAACGGAACCGCGTTTCAGACGCGTCGAGCTGAGGCTTATTGGAGGACCACCACGTCTACAAAGAAATTTATTGTCCCATTATTTCAGGCATATGTTAAGATATCGGAAAAATAAAAAGAAATAATTTTCATCTTGGGTTGTTTAAATGCTACGAATTGTTGAAGAAGATTATTGAAAAAAGTAAAGAATCTCTCGCGAGTGCCTGAACAAATTAAGCCTGATAAAATTCATAATGATTTATAAGTATAAAGAATACACGACTTAATAGGTTAAAAGAAATTGAATGTATAAACTAACCAAAATCGATGAAAATCTTCGAATTAGAAGAAATTCTGTTCGTAACATTTTTTCATGTGGGATATTAACTTTCCTTTTTTCCTCGATACCTAAATATTTTGATAGAATGTAATGATTTCTTATTTTCGAATCAAATACAGTTATTGTACTTTTAAATCGAAACTAAAGTTTTATATGTTTCCAGAAAATTTTGGAAGCGTACCTTAATTTGTTTTTGAGGTTTGCCACCTCTCTGGTCAATTCTTCCTGAGATTCTAGCATATCATCCATTTCCCTCTGTGCTTTCCTCTTCATCGCTTTATGCCTGCTAATTTCTTCTTCGGCTTCGTCGAGCTGTCTCTTCAATGCCTTCATCCTAGCATTCACCTTCTCGGCTTGCTCCTTGTATTGGTCCGAATTTCTCCTCTCATCTTCTAACTGTAAGCTCAATTCCTTTAATTTCTTTTCCAACTTTCTATTTATCTTCTGCTGCGCGAATCTCTCCTTTGCCTCGGTTTCCAATTGTTCATCGAGATTATTAATTTTTGATTCCAGCTGTTGAATGGTAGCTTTAGTTTTCGCCCTCTGGGCAGTTTCCAATTCAGTCAATTTCGCTTTAAGTTCCTTATTCTGTCTCTCCAACAACAATTTGTGCGATTCTAACTTCTGCGTAGTCGATCTCTCAGTGGTCAGATCGTTTGTCAGTTGTTCGATCGTTATCTGCGCTTTTCTGGCTCTGTCTATGAACAATTCAGCGTTCGACTGTTCTTCTTCTAATTCCTCCTCCAATGTCGCAATTCTAGCTTCGAGTCTTCGTTTCTCGTCCAGCATCAGCGTACCCTTGTTGGCGTTATTATTTAATTCCTCCTGTAATTCATCTCTTTCGTTCTCGGCAGCTCTCCTTGCCCGTTCACTGCTGGCGAAATCTTCCGTTAACTGCATCAAATCCGCCTCTAAACTCTTCACTTTCCGTTCAGTTTCTTTGGCACTCGCTGCCAGTTCGTCCCTAGCAGCCCTGGCCTCTTCGGTTTCTCTGGTGCTGTCCTTTATTTGTGCCTGCAGTTTCTTCAACTGTTTCAATGCATCTTCCTTTACCTTGTTATGCATTTCCAGTTGCTGTTCAATATCTTTATAATCTGCTTCCATCTTCTTGCGTTGGGCTATCGCGGCGGCTCTTTGCTTCCGTTCATCCTCTAGTTCCGCTTCGAGGTCACGCAACTGCTTAACCAATCCCCTGCGTTTCTCCTCGGCTTGTTCCTCTTTAGCTTGCAAATCCCGTTCGAACTGTGCTCTCAGCGCCTGCATGTTTACTTCTAATCGCAACTTCGCGTCTTCAGTGAACTGCAACTCGTCTTCGAGTTCCTCTACTTGTGAACGTTGCTCGGCCAATTGAGATTCGAGGGCTCGCTTCGCCTTCTCAAGTTCGTGCACGTTTTTGTCCGCTGTTCCCTGGTTGTTCACGAGTTCGTCGAGTTCCGACTGAAGTCCTCGTCGAATGCGTTCAAGCTCTTCCACCTTTTCGTTCATCTCGTCCAGTTCACGAGTCAAAGATAGGACGCGCGTCTCCTTTTCGCGAGCTTCGCGTTCCGCAGCATCGCGTTGCTCAGCGTATTGTTCGGATACTGCTTTTTCTTCGGCTAGCACCTTAAAAAGTAATAATAATCGTGTTACAATAGTGCTCAGATTTTTACAAGTTGTAACATTGATTCTACTAATACTTTATGATGTAACAAGATTAATTTAATATTTGTTGTGTATAAGCGTGAAATAAATATATGATAGTTTTATGTAGAGATTAACACTTTACGGATCATGTGTTACATAATATCGATATAATATTGTAGAGAACTTACAAGAAAATAGTTAAAAACACTGAAAATTATAAAAATAGTTAAGGTATTCAATATCGAATACTTTAAAAGATAGATTATATGATAATGCAGAAGTAGTCCGTAAGGTGTTTAATATTAACTAAATGTTTGTAGTAATTGAATACAACAAAACAAAAATGTTAGATGTAAAAAATAATGCGATAACATCAAATTAGTAATAATATTATTATTAAAAACTCACAGAAAATTCCTCAAACTATTGTTAATAATAAAAAAGGTAATAAGTTTATTAATTTTAAATTAATATAATTATAAATAACAGTAACACTAATTTATAATAGGGAATTAAATTATTAATCAGGAGATATATTATTTGTATCACTGTAATGATATAGGTATTAAAAACTCTTGTTTTATACAATAATAAATATAAGAATAAGCGTATAAGTAAATAATATAAAAATAAATAATTACCTTGTCGAAATTCTTTTGCTTTTTCTCCAATTCCAGCACCTTAGCTCGTTGCGCTTCAAGCTCGATAATACTATCTTCCAATTCCGCTTGTATTTTCTTCTTTGATTTGTCCAATTTATCATTGGCAGCCTGCAGCTCTTCAACTTGTCTTTGAATTGCTTCCATGTCTTTAATACATCTCTTTCTAGCTTCCTCCAATGCTACAGCGGCTTCAGCTTCTTCTTCTGCTTTCTTTTTAGCTTCAGCCAGTTGTACGTTTAAGCCAAGTAACTAAGTAAAATATATACATATATTTGTTAACATATTCTTCCTTTCATCAACTTAAACAATTTCTGTATGTAATTATAACCTGTACACGTATCAAATATCGCAACGTTTTTGTCATCCAAAAATTTATTAAAAAGTTGACATAATTCAACTAATTTCACGAATAAAAAAGAACAATAGAAAATCTAAAGAAATAACTACAAAATAACCGAAATATTTCGAGAATATTTAATAAAGTAATCTAATAGACTCAACATATCCGGTATGTTATCAAACCAAAGCAGGACTAGAATTATTCCCAACTTTGTTTCTTGCTTTAATGCCGCTTTTTAAATGAGAATTTCAATTTATAATCATACCTGTTTGTCTAAGGCTCTCTTCGCTTCTTCTTCTTCCTCCAGTTGATCATGCAAGCTTTCCTTTTCACTTTCTAACGCTCTTAATTTTGAACTCAGAGCTAATTTTTGTCTGGTTTCTTCCTCCAATTGCTGTTGAAGTTCTGTAAACTGGGATTCGCATGTAGCTGAAGCTTTTAAGGCAGCTGAAGCTTTCAATTCCGCAGCTTCCAATTGTTGCATAATACTTTCAGATTCCTGCTGTAATTTTGTAACTCTTTCCACTAATTCTTGCCTATTTCTTTCAACTTCAGCAAGCTTTGCATTCACTTCAGCAAGCTGTTGCTCTGCTTGTTTCCTTCTTCTGTCCGATTCTTGTCTACTGGCACTAATAGAACGAAGCTCTGATGTTAGATCAGCATTTTCAGCTTCCAAAGTACCCTTTGCTTTTTCTAAGACTGCTTTAGTCTTCTTCAGTGCATCCATCTGCTCGTTCAAAGCTGTTAGTTCTTGGGTATGCTTATGACGCATATCCGCCAATGTTGCTTCATGCATCGATGTCTCTTCTTCTAAATTCTTTTTCAGTGTTGCTAGTTCTTGTTCCCGCTTACTTCTCAATTCCTGTTGTGCGGCAGTTGTGTCCAAAGAATCTAACAACTCGTTTTTCAAAGCTTCCAATTCCTCATTTAGATCACGTTTCAGCTTCTCTGCTTTACTTCTCGCGCCCTTTTCTGCTTCTAAATCTTCTTGTAGCTCAGCTAATTGAGACTCTAACTCACGTAGAGCTTTCTGCGCCTGAGCTTTCGCTGCTCCTTCTTCATCCATCTTTGCCATTACTTGATTTAATTCTTCTTCGCGTTTGCCAAGTTGTAATTGAAGTTCTTCTACCTGTAAAGAAGTTAATATTGTTAGCATCATTCGTCGTTCGAAAGACGAGTCGCAGAACGGCACAGGGGTAAGAGGGGCTTCCACTGAATGCGTTGTATGAGGCGACGGGATTAGTGTACGTGTGATTGTTTCGATCAATCACACACTAAAGCCGAAAACACACTAGATTCTGACCACTCATACCCGCATTCCTTCCGCAGTTCGTTTTTCAAACAACGGACGATACTTATTGGTTTGCATAAATCGTTAATAAACAATTTATTAATCTCGCTATACCTGTGTTTTCCTTTCCGCAAGTTGCTCCTTCAAATCCGATACTTCAGTTTCTATCTTTCTCTTTGACCTATCGACTTCCTGTCTTTGTTGGTGATCTTTCAATAATCTCTCCTCCAAATCTGCAATCGTCGCTTCATGTTTGGCTTTCAATTTCGATAAATGTTTCGCTTTTTCTTCTTCTTCGGCGAGTGTTTGAGACAAATCATTTGCCCTTTCTTCAAGAATTTTCTTTTCTTTTAATAACTTTTGATTCGTATCATCAGAAAGCGCAAGATCTTCTTCAAGCTTCTTAATTTTCGCATCGCACTGTACTTTTTCTAATTGTAACTTCTGTCTTGCAGCTTCTTCTTCTTCTAGTTGTTCCTCGAGATCGCTTATGTTTAATTGTAATTTCTTTTTTTCTTGTGTTAACGCGGCACTTCTTTCTTCTTCTTCCTCAATTCTCGCTTCTAAATCATGAAGGATCTCTTCCAGTTCTTGTTTTCTGGCAGCTAGTCGTGCTCTCATTTCTTCGGCCTCCGCACATAATTCAACTTCAGCTTGCAATTGTTCTGCTAACACTGTCTTCTCTTCAATAGCCTGTTGATATTTCCTTTCATATTCCTGGGCAGAATGCATCTGTAATTCTAACTTGTCCCGCACTTGCTTCAACTCATCCTCCTTTTGAGTTAATTTTTCTTCTTGTTTGGTTACTTCTAACAAGGGCTTCACTTTAGTGTACAAACGCCACCACTGCCAATTTCTGAGTTTTAAATACGCCGCACAATTTCTTTGGATGATTCTGATAGCATTCAACTGTTGCAAACGTTTCTGATAATTTCTACGAGCAAGGAAACCTCGACAAAACGCTTGGAAATTGACAATTATATCAGTAATCTTGTAATCACGTTCTTCTTCAAGATGTGCCAAAACTCCAGCGCGAAAGAAAATTTTTGATTGACCAACACGGTACAGATTGGGATCAAGTTCAAGTGCTTGGATCTGAAATATTAAACATTTTACAATGCAAAGAATGTTCTTTGTTTTGTTTTAATTATAATTATTTTGAGTATATGTACGCCGGAAAAAATATAACAACAAAAAAACTACAATATTTACCATTTTTTCGCACGCTTTCTTTCCATCCATGAATCCTTTAGGAATGGCGTTGGGTGTCAAAAGTTCATACCTTTGTCTGAACTCTTGGAATGGTATCCTATTTGGAAATCCTTGACGACAAATTCTAATACCTTCCAGTACACCGTTACACCTTAACTGATCTAACACCAGAGGAGCATCAATTTTTCCAGCCCTCTTTTCATGATTCGGTATAATGCATCTAACGAAATTTGGATTGGTATTTCTAAGGGTAACCATTAACTTCGCCAATTGCTCTTTATATAATTGCGACACAGTTCTAAACATTCCTTTCCTTGTTCTTGCTCCAAATTGTGTATCAGTTAATGCTTGTTGAGCCATTCCAACAATTTCCGCATCTTTCCAAATATGACAAACAAAAGGATCTTGTGAATTTTGTAGAAGGCTAACTACATTTTCATTCAGAGGATCCATGTTTTTCATTAACCATTTAGCAGCGGAATAATCAACCTTCCCAGCATAATGTATAATTGCGAAGTCCGCTACACCTCTGAAGTCTGTTTTCATAAATTTAGGATGCACACTATGAGCACCTACTAATTTTTCAACAAATGTTTTATCTGTAGCCTTGGGGAACCAACATTCCTCATCTAACAATGCCATAATACCTGTTTTAAAAGCAGAATAAGTTTCTTTAATTTCTTGAACCATGTACACTAAACGCAACATATATAATAACTTTAAAGTTTTACTGATAAAGGGTTCAAACAAAATGTCAGTCTAATCAAATGAAGAACAAAAGTTAACCGAAATCTTTCTTTCTGAATCTTACCCATAGGTTTGTCAATCAGGTCGATAGTTGGTTGCAGATCCAGCCCAAAGTCTATGAACTTCCATTCGATGCCTTCCCTTTGATATTCTTCTTGCTCCAGAATGAACATAGTATGGTTAAATAACTGTTGCAATTTCTCATTTGTATAATTGATACACAACTGTTCGAAGCTGTTCAACTCAAATATCTCAAACCCAGCCATATCCAGTATACCAATAAAACTAGCCCCTTGCCTCTTCGTTCGATCTAAAGATCTATTAATTCTATTCACAAGCCACCTGAACATCCTCTCGTAACAAGCTTTTGAGATCGCTTCTACAGCAAATTCAACTTGTTCCTTCGTTTGTGCTTTTGTTACAAAATCTCTGCCCACCTTAATTCTTGGTTTTAAAAATGCTTTCGTCATTTCTGTGACGCTCAAGCCTAGCAAGTGAGAAATCTTTTGTGCAACAGTGTTGTCAGGCAACGTGGCTTGGTCAGAGTTTCTTTCTTGACGAAACTGCATCGAGCCAAATAACATTACCGCAGACACTATACGAAATATCGAGGAGAAGTCTTCATTTGTCATGCCCATGATGTGCATAGACTTCACTGTTGAGAAGAATTCGGCTGAATCGTCTACACCAGGAACTGGTAATGCCCCATTTGAGAGAAATGGATAGTGTTTTGGATCCTCTAAAATAAACTCCTCTGGAAAATTTCAAATAACAATATCAACTACGTTATCCTATAATCTTCTATGTATTCAGTAAAAATATAGTCACCACATAATTCTAATTATCAATTCAGTTACAAAACACAAAACAATCATGAGAAAAGAGAAATAAACTGATTTTTCTTTTCTCAAAATATAAAAACGATTTTCAAAAAATTTTGTAGTTACAAGATTAACATTGCTGTTGTTTAAAATATTGTAAACGGATGATATTTAATAATCTACAATGTAAGACGGAAATTAACAATAAAAAAATGTCGATTTTAATATTGTTTTCAAATTATTAATGATTAAAGGTCAGGGAAACTTTCAATCCTTAATAACTCGAAAACGAATCCGATACCACAATTTTTTATTCTTAATTTTCTTTTTGTATTGTCATGAGGAACCACTCTGCAAATTTTCTCCCATTTGTTGTCAAACACCCTCTATATTACTCGAGTAAACCCGTAAACTGGAACATTAAAATAATTATCTGGATAATCAAGTTGATTTCTCGCTATTATTTCGAAGAAGTTCACTTACTCTTCTGTTCCGACGAAGCACCTGCGAGGAGCTGATAAAATATATGGAAAGTTCTTTCGTCCTTTGCTTGCCGAATCGCTCTCGATTTTTCCAGTAGATATGTTTCGATGTTCGCGCCGGCAATATACCCGGAAGCATCGAAATTTATTCGGATAAATTTACCCTGGACGAATTCAACAAATATTTATATTTTTAAACAAATTAATGAAACCAAAATAGAGATCATTAAGTACATTTTCACAAAATACTCATTCTTAATTTAAGAATATTATATATAAATATATAGAGTGAGAAATATGAGTTATATGAAATATATCTATATTTCTTTAAATAAAATATGTAATATCGTATATAATATGAAATTTTATATTTATTTATAAGACGCGTTAACAAAAATTTGAACCACAAAAGACAACCATCATTAGTCAAAAGAAGTGGAAGAACAAACGATTAAGAAATTGAATTAATAAAAACTATATTGTAAATTTGTGAACGAAATAAAATACTGAAACTTACGAATCGAGAGGAGTTGTCATTTTTCACCGTCTTAGCATTCCCGAAAGCCTCTAGGATAGGGTTTGCCTGTAGAAGTTGCTGTTCCAATTCACCCTATTACGAAAAACGATTTCATTGATAGAGAAGCGGCCATTGCGGCTAATCTGAACGCATAGGGGATGTGCATCACGATTACCAGGACAATCTTTTACGAATTCATCAAACTTGAAATGAACAAATAATAAACAAAGTGTCTTATTCACTAATGGTCTAACTTTCAATTAATATCGTTACAAAAGGGCAACGAACATCTGTTAAAAAGGGAGCAAACAATGTTACGCTAAAAGAAGCTTCTAAAATACTGCGAATATATTATTAATGCAGCAATGCGATCTCGAAGTTTGGCAGCAACTTTCTTTTATGCTAAACAAGAAAATCAATAAGGATGGAACGCATATAATGTAATTAAAACTTAAAACAAAGATAATTAATCGCTCGTAGAAAGCAATCGATACTATTTTAAGTACACTATCGACGAAATGTACGAGATCCGTTAAATCGCTGATCTTCCGATGACAAAATTCGATAACGAAACTTCAAAGCGCAGAATTGAAAAAATATTATACATGCTTCTAACCATTTAATAAATGCAAATTCTCGGTTTTTGTTGTTTTCTTCATTCTTCGAGAAAAATTCATGGCCTGTACGGTTCAGAATACTATGTAAAGAGGCTGATTAAGAAAAAATTAAAACTGTACAGAGAACTATTATACAGAATATTCATGTTGTAATTGTAAATGTATTTGCAGAAGGAGAGGAATATAAATACAAAGAAACAAGAATTTTCATTAATTAAAGACTGGATCTTGGTCCCATACAATTGATCTACAGTGTACACAATCAAAGTAATTAATCACGATTTATTCTTAAAAAAGAATAACATAAAATCGCGTTTGTACAATTGACAAAAATCGCAAGAATCGACAAACTGGGAAAATTAACAATCAAAGAACAAAACTATTGCCAACATTTCTGCAGCGTGAAAGATCTTAAAACTGATCCTCGGCACTGATAATGCATCGTTATCGTAATTCTGCACCGTTATCGTGAAAATAATGATTCAAGAAAAGAGCTGCGGATACTTAAACGGGTATTCGGAGTATTAGTAAAATGAAAATAATCGAATTCGAGTAATTCATTATTCTCAGTCTACTTCGGAATAATTAAAAGTAGTCCCTTCTAATGATCGTTTCAGTTTGTGCGTGGTAATAAGGATCACCTCGATCATCGAGTTGGTACAATACGAAAGAGTTATTTCTCTAAATCTCGTTTTGTTACGGACGAAGCGTACAAAGCTGGTAAAGAAAAAAACAAAGAAAAAGAGAAAACAGAAAAACAAAACGTAAAGTCAGGAGGAAAAGAAAAAAATACACAACATCAAGCATACAAATTCGCATGTACACGCACACAAGCACGAATACAGGATACATTAATAAGTAAATTCAATTAATCGACTCTCACGTTAATTACCGCAAATTTATCCGAAACGCTTCCGGAACCCTGAATCCAGCGAGCAGCGAGCAAGATAAGGAAGATTTGTTACAATTCTACAAAACTTTTTGTTGGTTCGTTTTAATTAAACAGACAAGACTATTATCTTGAAAATGTCCCCATAAAATGAACACCAGAATTTGTTAGTATCGAAAAGTAAGAGTGGGCGTGGAATGAACAGGGAATGAGACGTCGGTTTTTCTTCTTTTTCGCAAAAGACAATGCAGAGAACGAGAGAAAGAAATGTGTATACGACGATTATCAGAATACAGTAACGCACGGACACCTGTCTCCATCTTGGTACCACGTGGAACGAATTTAAAATTCAAATTCGTTTCGAGGAACGTTTCGGACGTTTCATCCATATATGTACATTTTCAAAATATCTTCGATAACTGGAACTGTAAATTTTAAGGAAACCATCGTGTCATGTTTATTTTTTTCTAGCCAATAATTCAAATATAATTTGAAATTTTCTTTTTAATTTAATTAATTTAAATATATAAGTACAATATCAAGGAATAAAGAGACTATATTAAATATGAGACTATAAAACCTTCAATTTTAAATTTTTCGTAAAAATATTTCAGTTAATAATCAAGAATGGAAGCAAATGTCAAATGAAAGATATCTCTCGAGTAACATTCAATCAAAATCAAAATGGAGACAACAATCCATGTGTCAGTATATCTGTTAAAGAAAAGGGCAACCGTTAATCACGAGACTATACACAATAAGAAAAAAAAACGATGAGACAGCTACGTTCGAGTGCACGTACCAATCGACAAAGTTAATTAAAATCGTACAACTGTCCAGGAATCTGATAGTTACGCCAAACGAACTCGAGTAACTTAATTATTCAAACTTAAATGGAGAAAAAACAATAAGTTTCAGATTTTGTTGAATTCGTGTACGACTCGCTCGAGTTCAAGTTTTATTTTTAAATTTTGTGCAGTGCAACATTGCGTTGTACCAGACGAAACAGTAAAAATCAGCGCAAACAAGGGAATTGTATTACACGCGAGAAGTAAACGATTTTACTTCAGCAAACACTAGGAACTGAACTTTTACCATAACGATAGTGACAATGATAACGACAGAC